AACTCATCCACTATCTCATTTTCTAATCTCTCTATCTCTGGTTCCCGTTTCTCCCCAACACACAAAAACTCCGTCTATCCATCTCTCTCAATCTCTATATTCTGACTCGGCTGCCTCAGCATTTGCAAATGTCGATGCAAATTTGCATTTTATTGATGCTTGGATATAACTGCAAGATGTTTTGCACAATTTGGTTGTCATCTTTGAGGGGAGAGACCAATGATAGTGTGTGCACACAGAACACTAGTGACCCGAGGGCCAGATTCACGAAGCAGTTACGCAAGCACTTTACGAACCTGACCATCTTTTCTCAATCCTTGGCGGCTTTGTTTACAAATATTAAACAGTTAATGAGTTTGGTTGAGCAACATCTCAACATGTCTTAAGGTTAAGCAAGACACTGAGCATGTTTGTGACCAACTTGTTTCTGAAACAGATGATGCAAACACCCAGGTAAGACTGTCAATACACGGGAGACATCTCCCGTCACGCTGGGTGCAGTCGCACCTCCACAGATCTCCAGTATCAGCTCTTGATACTGGTAATGGCTCAAAAGGGTTACCACCACTTACGGGCTATTCATGCCCGTGCCACCTTTTGGGTAGTTTAATCTTCATCAACCATCAATCAACTGTCAATAACCCCACCAACCCCACAGGTTAATTACGCCTCCCTCACCCCCCACCACCCCCGGCAATCCCCCCCCCCCCACCATCTTCCCCCCCTCTCCCCCTCCCTTCACACACACACAAACCCTTCTACCACCTGAAGGAAAATCGTGAAGTCTGCTGTGGGGAAGAAACGTGTGTGTGCTCTGCTCCCCTGGACCAGTCTCCGTAATTATCGCAGCTCTTCTGTCTTCCTACACAGAAAAGGCAGACTGCTGCTGGTTCTCTCACTGATAAAATAAGTGGGATTTTCTGCCAGGAGAGACTTTGTTATTTTCGCAGACACGGGAGATAAATTAGGCGAGGAGAGGGAGAGAGAGAGAGAGAGAGAGAGAGACAGAGAGAGAGAGACAGAGACAGAGACAGAGAGAGAGAGAGAGAGAGAGAGAGAGAGAGAGAGAGAGAGAGAGAGAGAGAGAGAGAGAGAGAGAGAGGAGAGAGAGAGAGAGAGAGAGAGAGACAGACGAGAGAGAGAGGAGAGAGAGAGGAGAGAGAGAGAGAGAGAGAGAGAGAGAGAGAGAGAGAGAGAGAGATGAGAGAGAGGAGAGAGAGAGAGAGAGAGAGAGCGAGAGAGAGAGAGAGAGAGAGAGAGAGAGAGAGAGATTTTCGGACAAGTCTCCCGTGTTAATCCGTCATAGTCATAATTAGATATATATATATATTTATATATATATATATATATATATATATATTATATATATATATATATATATATATATATACTATAAGAAAAACATCAAAGTAATGACTAGGAAAACTGTTGGATGGCGCCTAGCCAAAAGCCTCCTCCAGACCGTCGGTACTGAAAGGAGGCCACCCAGATCTCTTGGGTGTATGGCAGCCAAATAATATTCCCATATCCTATTATGTTATCTACCAACTCAAAAAACCAAACAAAAAGTTGACATGATAATTAACTATCACGGTCAATAAATACATATACCATGTTTAGCAGGCGATGAGTCACAATAACGTGGCTGAAGTGTCTTGACTAGACCACACACTAGAAAGTGACGACGACGACGACCAAACATTCTGAGAGACAAACATATACATTTCCTAGGATTTGGGATGGGACGGGGGAAAGGAATGGTGCCCAACCACTTGTGGACGGTCGGGGATTGAACGCCGACCTACATGAAGCGAGACCGTCGCTCTACCATCCAGCCCAAGTGGTTGGACCCCGGGGGGGGGGGACAAAGGGAGACAGAAGGAAGGGAGGCATAGTACAAATAAGAAAGATAGGTAGAAAAACAGGTAAAGAGGGGAGGGGGGAAGAAGAACTAGACAACAGCTTAAAAGGGGAGTAAAGCTAATAAATGCTACGTGTTTGGAGCGCCTGGCTGTCTGAGGCTCGAACCCTTCACGAACAAGAGTTTTCTCATATATAATAAATCCGCTTGTCAGGGACTGGAAACTTTTACTTAGGCTTATCGAGATCCCCCCCCCCTCCCCTAGGCCAACTACTGACCTTCCTTCAGGATGCAACCCACAACAGTCGCCTAACTCCCGGTTACCTATTTTACTTGAAGAGGCCCAATCATTTGCCCTGCACGAGGATTGAACCCGGGTCCATCGGTTGCGAGCCAAGGATGTAGACCATTGCGCTATAGGTAAGTGAATAACAACACAAGTTACAAAATTCCAAATCTGATCTGGAGAAGCTCGAGTAATGGCTTAAGTGCTACAATGGAAAAGGAAGCACTGATGCTCTACAATGGGATCGAACTTGCGTCCCTGGGCTCCCAAGGCACACGCGCAACCGGCCGGGCCTTCATATTTTTTCAGTGTTTTCTCAGATTCATTACGTTATTGTGATTTCATTGTGGATAAGGGTATAAGTATAAATATCTCATAAGTAAGGGTATAAGTAAGGTATGTATATAGGTATAAGTATAAGTATCTATATCCGGGGTATCTATATAAGTATCAGGGGTACAATATCCGTGGAGGCAGTCTGGGCCTAGAGCGGAGACGAGCGGAGTACCGCAAGGGACAAGAAATTAACTTAATTTCCTTTTAATATACCTTAACAACCTGACAGAACAAACAGACTAATTATATTTATTTAAACCTAATGCAAATATTCGAGACATTAGGATAATACATAGAGGATCTAGGCAAACTTCAGAAATAATCTGAGGAATGGCCACTAGAATTCAATCCTGTAAAATGCAGCGTTATGAAGACAGGAAAAAATGCCAAAAAGCTCAGAATAATAACCTTGGATCGAGGACGACCTCGTTGCACTTCCGAACTCGTAAAATACTTAGTAAATACCAACAAACCGTCATGATCAAGCCGTACAGGGGCCAGATTCACGAAGCAGTTACGCAAGCACTTACGAACCTGTACATCTTTTCTCAATCTTTTGCGGCTTTGTTTACAATTATTAAACAGTTAATGAGCTCCGAAGCACCAGGAGGCTGTTTATAACAATAACAACAGTTGATTGGCAAGTTTTCATGCTTGTAAACTGTTTAATAAATGTAACCAAAGCCGTCAAAGATTGAGGAAAGATGTACACGTTCGTAAGTGCTTGCGTAACTGCTTCGTGAATCTGACCCCAGGTCACTTCAGTAGATACGGAAACGCTCTATCAACCCCGACCAAGGACCCAATAGATCAGTTACCAAAACCCAAGTCTTGAATCGTAAGTCTTAATCACCAAGACCCAGACCACACACTAGAAAGTGAAGGGACGACGACGACGTTTTGGTTTGTTTCGGCCCGTCGTCGTCCCTTCACTTTCTAGTGTGTGGTCTGGTCAACATACTTCAGCCACGTTATTGTGACTCCTCGTCTGCTCCAAGACCCAGTTTCCGTCCCCTAGGTCCCAGGACCCACGTTCCGGGTCCCAGAAGGTCATGAGAGGTATGTGGGACCCAGTTTCCGTCCCCTCGGTCCCAGGACCCACGTTCCCGGGTCCCAGAAGGTCATGAGAGGTATGTGGGACCCAGTTCCCGTCCCCTCGGTCCCAGGACCCACGTTCCCGAGTCCCAGAAGGTCATGAGAGGTAGGTGGGACCCAGTTCCCGTCCCCTCGGTCCCAGGACCCACGTTCCCGGGTCCTCAGAAGGGCATGAGAGGTATGTGGGACCCAGTTCCCGTCCCCTAGGTCCCAGGACCCACGTTCCCGGGTCCCCAGAAGGGCATGAGAGGTATGTGGGACCCACCTCACCGTCTAACACGAAAATACAATTTCGCTGAAAGATGGAACAGGAGAAAATGTAGAGAAATGGGCGTACTGGGGAAGGCTAGTTGGCCTGGTACATATTATGGTGTTTGGCTGTTTTACTTGGCTTCTAATGGGTATTTCATTTGCTTTAATGGGTTCTGTGTTTTTTTTCCCCGTTTGGATAAACAAAATATCATAAAATCCCTAAATCTTCTTTTCCATATTTCTCAATATATTAATAATTTTATTTTCGCCATTTTACCCTCTTTCTATCTTGCTTTTCTTCCTCATTTTATAAATTAGTAAGTTATATTTTTAATCGATTTTCTTTAGAAAAAAATCGGTTTCCTCTCGAAAAAAAAATATATGCTTCCTGTTTTCTTTGTTCCTCGCATCGTAAACCATTTTATTTAATAATAATAGCTGAACCCAACCACTTGGGCTGGACGGTAGAGCGAATCTGAGTTCAATCCCCGACAATCCAAGTATTTAGGCATCATTCCTTTCCCCCCCTCCCATCCCAAATCCTTATCCTGCCCCCCCCCCCTTCCAAATGCTATATAGTCGTAATGGCTTGACGCGTAGTGGCTTATATACATATATATTTATATATACACACACACATACGTACTTATACACGTGTGCTTATACGTACGGAGTTAAACTTGAATTTTAGTCACTGTTCCTTGTTAACAATATATCTAAATTACAGTGAAATTCAATTTGCATTCGAGGAGTTTCGTTCAAATTATTATGACAAGCAATTATTATTATACCATTATACCATTATTATTAATTCTTGTCTTCGTTACCATTGTACTGACCATTACCATTATTAGAGGTTACCATGATCTGAATAATTATAGATGTTGGGAGTATGGCCGCCACAGACCAGATGATTGGGTGACACCACAGACTAGACGATTGGGTGACACCAGACCAGATGATTGGGTGACACCCCAGACTAGACGATTGGGTGACACCCCAGACTAGACGATTGGGTGACACCACAGACTAGACAATTGGGTGACATCACAGACCAGATGATTGGGTGACACCACAGACTAGACGATTGGGTGACATCACAGACCAGACAAACAGACCGTCAGACACCACCACAGACCAGACTAACAGACCGTCAGACACCACCACAGACCAGACTAACAGACCATCAGACACCACCACAGACCAGACAAACAGACCGTCAGACACCACCACAGACCAGACAAACAGACCGTCAGACACCACCACAGACCAGACTAACAGACCGTCAGACACCACCACAGATCAGACAATCAGACCGTCAGACACCACCACAGACCAGACTAACAGGCCGTCAGACACCACCACAGACCAGACAAACAGACCGTCAGACACCACCACAGACCAGACAAACAGACCGTCAGACACCACCACAGACCAGACTAACAGACCGTCAGACACCACCACAGACCAGACAAACAGACCGTCAGACACCACCACAGACCAGACAAACAGACCGTCAGACACCACCACAGACCAGACTAACAGACCGTCAGACACCACCACAGACCAGACGATTCTGCAACAGACCGTCGGACTGATAACAATTGCAGGCGAGAGAGTCAATTTGCAAGTAAAATAAACAGTAGGGGTCCCAGGTGAGAGAGAGAGGAGAGGAGAGAGGAATGAGAGAGGAGAGAGAGAGAGAGAGAGAGAGAGAGAGAGAGAGAGAGAGAGAGAGAGAGAGAGAGAGAGAGAGAGAGAGAGAGAGATGAGAGAGAGAGAGAGAGAGAGAGAGAGGGAGAGGAGAGAGAGAGAGAGAGGGAGAGGAGAGAGGGAGGAGAGAGAGAGAGAGAGGAGAGAGAGAGAGAGAGAGAGAGAGAGAGAGGAGTGAGAGAGAGAGGAGAGAGAGAGAGAGAGAGAGAGAGAGAGAGCAGGGAGTGCCTGGCATAGAGGAAGCGTGTTTTAGGGCTCAAACCACGGACCATGAAAGTGACAGCATTACCACACACTACATAGATAACCTCACTGTGGACGAGGGAGCAACTAGCCATGCAAGCTAAGCTCTCGGCTTCATCAAACATTCATGCAACCACTTACGAAACCTGTACATCTGTCCTCATTCATAGCGGCTTTGTTTACGATCAACAGTGTCTGAGCTCCGAAACGCTATACGAAGTTGTTTAAACGATAATAAACGTGGGTTGTGTACTAATATATATGTAAACAAAGTCGCCATGATTGTTGAAAGATGTACCGGTTTCGTATGTAGTGCCGTATGGGTTTATTGATGTGGCAATTAAGGTACCTCCGCGGCAAGGTACTTCCGGGGTTCTAGTCCGAGGGTTCATTACTTTCATGTTCAATGGAACAGAAATTGCGCGTTTGTGTAATTCATTAAGTTGTTATTTAGTTCCACGGTGTCCGTGCTCTAGGGCTTCAGGGCCTTCAGGGTTGAAGTGGCTTCAGGAGCTTCAGGGCTCTAGGGCCTTCTGGAGTTTCAGGGCTCCAGGGGGCTTCAGAAGCTTCAGAGATCCAGGGGGCTTCAGAAGCTTCAGGGCTCCAGGGGCTTTAGGGCTTCAGGGCTTTAGGGGCTACAGGGGCTCCAGGGACTTCAGGGCTCCAGGGGCTTCAGGGCTCCAGGGGCTTCAGGGCTCCAGGGGCTTCAGGGCTCCAGGGGGCTCCAGGGACTTCAGGGCTCCAGGGGGCTCCAGGGACTTCAGGGCTCCAGGGGGCTCCAGGGACTTCAGGGCTCCAGGGGGCTCCAGGGGCTTCAGGAAGCTTCAAGGGCTCCAGGGACTTCAGGGCTCCAAGGGGCTTCAGGGACTTCAGGAAGCTTCAAGGGCTTCAGGACTCCAAGGGCTCCAGGGACTTCAGGGCTCCAGGGGCTTCAGGGCTCCAAGGGGCTTCAGGAAGCTTCAAGGGCTTCAGGACTCCAAGGCTCCAGGGACTTCAGGGCTCCAGGGGCTTCAGGAAGCTTCAAGGGCTTCAGGACTCCAAGGGCTCCAGGGACTTCAGGGCTCCAGGGCTCCAAGGGGCTTCAGGAAGCTTCAAGGGCTTCAGGACTCCAAGGGCTCCAGGGACTTCAGGGCTCCAAGGATTTCAGGGCTCCAGGGGCTTCAGGGCTCCAAGGGGCTTCAGGAAGCTTCAAGGGCTCCAGGGACTCCAAGGCTCCAGGGACTTCTGGGCTCCAAGGATTTCAGGGCTCCAGGGACTTCAGGGCTTCAGGGACTTTAGGGCTCCAGGGTCTACAGGGACTTTAGGGCTCCAGGGTCTACAGGGACTTCAGGGCTCCAGGGTCTACAGGGACTTTAGGGCTCCAGGGTCTACAGGGACTTCAGGGCTCCAGGGTCTACAGGGACTTCAGGGCTCCAGGGTCTACAGGGACTTCAGGGCTCCAGGGTCTACAGGGACTTTAGGGCTCCAGGGTCTACAGGGACTTCAGGGCTCCAGGGTCTACAGGGACTTCAGGGCTCCAGGGGCTACAGGGACTTCAGGGCTCCAGGGTCTACAGGGACTTCAGGGCTCCAGGGTCTACAGGGACTTCAGGGCTCCAGGGTCTACAGGGACTTCAGGGCTCCAGGGTCTACAGGGACTTCAGGGCTCCAGGGTCTACAGGGACTTCAGGGCTCCAGGGTCTACAGGGACTTCAGGGCTCCAGGGGCTACAGGGACTTCAGGGCTCCAGGGTCTACAGGGACTTCAGGGCTCCAGGGGCTACAGGGACTTCAGGGCTCCAGGGGCTTCAGGGGCTCCAGGGACTTCAGGGCTCCAGGGTCTACAGGGACTTTAGGGCTCCAGGGTCTACAGGGACTTCAGGGCTCCAGGGTCTACAGGGACTTCAGGGCTCCAGGGTCTATAGGGACTTCAGGGCTCCAGGGTCTACAGGGACTTCAGGGCTCCAGGGTCTACAGGGACTTCAGGGCTCCAGGGTCTACAGGGACTTCAGGGCTCCAGGGTCTACAGGGACTTCAGGGCTCCAGGGGCTACAGGGACTTCAGGGCTCCAGGGTCTACAGGGACTTCAGGGCTCCAGGGGCTACAGGGACTTCAGGGGCTTCAGGGGCTCCAGGGACTTCAGGGCTCCAGGGTCTACAGGGACTTCAGGGCTCCAGGGGCTACAGGGACTTCAGGGCTCCAGGGGCTTCAGGGACTTCAGGGCTCCAGGGTCTACAGGGACTTTAGGGCTCCAGGGTCTACGGGGACTTTAGGGCTCCAGGGTCTACAGGGACTTCAGGGCTCCAGGGTCTACAGGGACTTTAGGGCTCCAGGGACTTCAGGGCTCCAGGGTCTACAGGGACTTCAGGGCTCCAGGGGCTACAGGGACTTCAGGGCTCCAGGGGCTACAGGGACTTCAGGGCTCCAGGGGCTACAGGGACTTCAGGGCTCCAGGGGCTTCAGGGGCTCCAGGGACTTCAGGGCTCCAGGGTCTACAGGGACTTTAGGGCTCCAGGGTCTACAGGGACTTCAGGGCTCCAGGGTCTACAGGGACTTCAGGGCTCCAGGGGCTACAGGGACTTCAGGGCTCCAGGGTCTACAGGGACTTCAGGGCTCCAGGGGCTACAGGGACTTCAGGGCTCCAGGGGCTTCAGGGGCTCTAGGGACTTCAGGGCTCCAGGGACTTCAGAGGCTCCAGGGACTTCAGAGGCTCCAGGGGCTTCAGGGGCTCCAGAGACTTCAGGAGCTTCAGGGTTCCAAGGGCTCCAGGGACTTCAGGGGCTCCAGAGACTTCAGGGGCTTCAGGGCTCCAGGGGGCTTCAGAGATCCAGGGGGGCTTCAGGGCTCCAGGGGGCTTCAAGGGCTTCAGGGCTCCAAGGGCTCCGGGGGGCTTCAGGGGCTTCAGGGGGCTCCAGTGGTCTCCAGGGGGCTTCAAGGGGCTTCAGGGGGCTTCAGGGCTCCACGGTTCCAGGAATGAAAACTAACCCAAATCCTGACGTTCAATTTTCACCAAAGTGCCTCTCAATACAGTCTGAAAAACCTTACCTTAGAGGGTTGCCCAACACACCAAGGTAAGAGGACGAGGTATACTGAGGCAAGAGAGGGAGAGGACCAGGTATACTGAGGCAAGAGAGGGAGAGGACGAGGTATACTAAGGTAAGAGAGGGAGAGAACGAGGTATACTAAGGCAAGAGAGGGAGAGGACCAGGTATACTGAGAAGAAGACAAATGTACCTAGAGGAAGAAATGGGAAATAGAAAAGCAAAGTAAACTAGAGAAGAAGGAATAGAGGAAAAGCATAACTCTGATGTTTAGAAAAGTAAGGGAAAATTATGAGACAATCTTAGGATGAGACATGAATAGAAGGAGACCTCTCTCTCTCTCTCTCTCTCTCTCTCTCTCTCTCTCTCTCTCTCTCTCTCTCTCTCTCTCTCTCTCTCTCTCCCTCCTCGTCCCCCTCTTCCTCCTGCCCTTCCTTGCTCAACAAGACGCCCATGACAAGTCTATTCCCTCCTAGTCAAGAAGAACAACAAACAGCATTATAAACACAAGAGCAACACAGACCACGGCGAGGGGAGCCGGTTGGGCCCAACATAATGTGCATTTGTTTTTGTTTTTCAATATCCCCATTTTACGCTGAATCGGAAAACCGTAAATGTCCGAGGGGAAATTTAGTTCGATAAAGCGTAATATCGGAGAAAGTCAATAATGAGAGTGCGTGCGCGCGTGCGCTCACCTAGTTGAGCTCGCAGAGTCGAGTTTCGGCTCTTAAGCCCCGCCTTTTCTACCATCATTGGTTGAATACAGTGATTTTTTTCGTATACATTTAAAGTTTTCAATAAAAAAAAATTTCTACTAGTCTTTCTAGACTAGAATAAGTTCTTTCTGACATCTGTAGCTCATCTGTCTTACCTTTATTTCTGACGTTCAACACTTTAGAAGTTGAAACATGTGTGTCTTTCCGTCTGTCTCTATCCTAAGATGCAGGCCAAATGTTAGTGGCTAGCCTCACTCAAATTGTAGGGGAAATGCTCTGAGGTAACTTCCACTGCACGAGTCATACAGGAATGATCGCAGCATACCTGACCACACCCCGCGAGTCACAAGGATGATATAGAGTACTGTACAAGGTTTAAAAGTCCAGCACATACAAGGTGTTCACATTACCTTGCTCAACCCTCCAGTATACATCTACCATCTTGAGACAAAAAATCCTGAGTCCCTCACTTTCCTTCTAGGGCCGAAATTTAAAAGCTGAGGCACACCACCCAATGTCTGGGTGTGCAATGAATGGTCCCGCTAGGAGTCATTGAACTTTTAACAACAGCAAATGAATGGTTACCATGTATATATTTACAGGCAAATGTACGCTATGTTGAATTATAAGATTTAGACATATAGCATATATCACTGATGCGTATGTGGAAAAAACACAGAGAAATGGGAAGGAAATGTGTAGCAACATTCCTTCCCATTGCCCCTGTGGGTTTCACCCTATATATATATATATATATATATATATATATATATATATATATATATATATATTATATGCAACAATGATCACAAAAACACTGATCCAAATATGCAGAAAACCCACATTAAAAAAATAGAGAATGCTTAACGCGTTTTCGGCTAATTCGCCTTCATCAGAGCAAAGTAGAATGAATCATTCATTCTACTTTGCTCTGATGAAGGCGAATTAGCCGAAAACGCGTTAAGCATTCTTTATGTTTCGTGTATATTTATGCACATTTATCTGTACTAAATATATTTTCCAAGTTATACATAATGAACACAACCTCTGACATACCAGTACAATCCCTGGAAACACAAACCGTAACTGTCTCTATTTTCCGCTTGTTACTACCTGTAATAAAGTTGTTACATCTTGGCTTAACCTGTTTATGACGTATTAGAACGTTGTTACAACTTGCTATATTGGTTGTTATAACTGGTTAGGAGGTGTTAAAACTTGTTCGAACGTTGTACCAACGTCGTAGTTTCGGTGTGTGTTTGGCGGGATGTGTTGGCACGAAAACGCAAAATAAAGACAGAAACAATTAAAATAATCGACAAAGTAATTCCCGTGCGGCATCTCACCTTATTTTTACCGGAGGTAAAAATTAATTTTATTTTTTTTTTTTTAAATTTTTAAAAAAAAAAATTTAAATTTTACCGGAGGTAAAAATAATTTAAATTTATACTTTTCCTCGCCACTAAACCACAAGTTGTTGTTTTTTACTTGGATTTTCGTGCTTCTAGGACGTTAATTAACATTGTAAACAAAAAAATATTATTTTTTTTGGGGGGGGGGGGATGGGGCAGACCTCTCCAAATCACATTTTGGTTGTCACATTTAACAGGCAGTTTAGCGGTTACGTAGGAAATGAAATCGGGGAAGCGTTGTCCGTAGAGTGTAACACTACAGCCGTCGTTTACCCAACCTCTCCTTCCTCCAACCTCAACCTCAAAGAACGTCGCTTTTGGCCGTTTGCCCGTATAGCCGAAAGTGGACGTAATTTGAAAATGAAAAAAAAAATGTAAATAAATTTGGGATTTGTTTTTCAACAACAGTAAGTTAAGGGTCCTCTGATAGGTTAGGTGGGCAGGAAATTCTCATAAAGTTTCGAAACGTTATGAAAAACGTTAATTGAAAGTTCCTCTTCTAAGCTGTCCGAGGAGGGCCGGACGACTCAAACAGAAAACGGAACAGTACGTCACTTTTGTGAGTCGATTTCATTTCAAATTACGTCCAAATTTGGCCATAGTGCGCATACGAGCCAAAAGTGACGTTATTTTTAAGAGGACGAGTTGGTTTACCAGCGCAAAAAAAAAAAAAAATACCAGCGCAGTTTCACGATTTACTTTGAATGGAAAGGTCTGTCTGTTAAATGGGGGGATGGTGCTAGAGGGGGGAGAAGAAAGGATGAGGAGGGGGTAGGGGGGGGGGGTGTGGAGAGGATAAGAGGGGGTGGTTAGAGAGAGAGACTATCCCGGGCACTGCCGGGTACCTCTCCTAGTGTTTATATACAGTTGTGGTGAGACTGGTTGCCTGGACTATCCCGGGCACTGCCGGGTACCTCTCCTAGTGTTTATATACAGTTGTGGTGAGACTGGTTGCCTGGACTATCCCGGGCACTGCCGGGTACCTCTCCTAGTGTTTATATACAGTTGTGGTGAGACTGGTTGCCTGTGATATAAAAAAGCATTTCCTTAAGACTATAAGACAACAGAGGGAAAATTCCAGTGTGCTGGTATTTCAACATAAAATTATAGGAATTCCCTTGTCTTGGCATAGCTGTCGATGCCAAGAATTAGCATTCATGTGTGTGTGTATATTCACCTAATTGTGTTTGCGGAAGTTGAGCTCTGCTCTTTCGGCCCGCCTCTCAACTGTCAATCAAATGTTTACTAACTACTTTTTTTCCCACACCACACACACACACACACACCAGGAAGCAGCCCGTGACAGCTGATTAACTCCCAGGTACCTATTTAGTGCTAGGTACCAGGGGCATTCAGGGTGAAAGAAACTTTGCCCATTTGTGTCTGCCTGGTGCGGGAATCGAACCCGCGCCACAGAATTACGAGTCCTGCGCGCTATCCACCAGGCTACCACGCCCCCCCTGGTAGCGTGTGTGTGTGTGTGTGTGTGAGTAGCTGCTTGGATATGCCTTTTGCCTCTCTGATACTCCTCTTAGTCTTAGATATTCATACTGTGATGTATTTCAAAGCTTGTTCCCTGGGGTTCTTGTTGCTCTCTACTTCATTCACAATCTTGGCTTTGAGCTTTGCTTTCCTGCACTGACGGTTAAGTCAATCATAGTCTTGGCTATATTTCTGTATAAAAGGTTCTGTATAAATACAGAACTCCTGTATTTTTGTAAAACAACGCGTATATCTGTTCCTCACAGCATTTTTTGAGTTTATCCATCATGATTTACTTAGTGATGAAGATAAATGTGTACCCATTGTCAGCATGTCTCCATCGGCCTGTCAGCAGTAGTTCCCATCCACCAGCCTGTCAGCAGTAGTTCCCGTCCACCAGCCTGTCAACAGTAGTTCCCGTCCACCAGCCTGTCAGCAGTAGTTCCCATCCACCAGCCTGTCAACAGTAGTTCCCATCCACCAGCCTGTCAGCAGTAGTTCCCGTCCACCAGCCTGTCAGCAGTAGTACCCGTCCACCAGCCTGTCAGCAGTAGTTCCCGTCCACCAGCCTGTCAGCAGTAGTACCCGTCCACCAGCCTGTCAACAGTAGTTCCCATCCACCAGCCTGTCAGCAGTAGTTCCCGTCCACCAGCCTGTCAGCAGTAGTACCCGTCCACCAGCCTGTCAGCAGTAGTTTCCGTCCACCAGCCTGTCAACAGTAGTTCCCATCCACCAGCCTGTCAGCAGTAGTTCCCATCCACCAGCCTGTCAACAGTAGTTCCCGTCCACCAGCCTGTCAACAGTAGTTCCCATCCACCAGCCTGTCAGCAGTAGTTCCCATCCACCAGCCTGTCAACAGTAGTTCCCGTCCACCAGCCTGCCAACAGTAGTTCCCGTCCACCAGCCTGTCAACAGTAGTTCCCGTCCACCAGCCTGTCAACAGTAGTTCCCGTCCACCAGCCTGTCAGCAGTAGTTCCCGTCCACCAGCCTGTCAACAGTAGTTCCCGTCCACCAGCCTGTCAACAGTAGTTCCCGTCCACCAGCCTGTCAGCAGTAGTTCCCGTCCACCAGCCTGTCAACAGTAGTTCCCGTCCACCAGCCTGTCAGCAGTAGTTCCCGTCCACCAGCCTGTCAGCAGTAGTTCCCGTCCACCAGCCTGTCAGCAGTAGTTGCCGTCCACCAGCCTGTCAACAGTAGTTCCCGTCCACCAGCCTGTCAACAGTAGTTCCCGTCCACCAGCCTGTCAGCAGTAGTTCCCGTCCACCAGCCTGTCAGCAGTAGTTCCCGTCCACCAGCCTGTCAGTAGTAGTTCCCGTCCACCAGCC